AAACTGCAGCTTGTGAGCTACAGGCTGTGAAGTAAAATTGAAAATGAAAACAAAGCTATCATAGTTTCATTTATAAAACTTGTAAAGGATATTATTCACATAATGGTGATTTTGTAAAAATATATTTATGGCTCTCGAATAATTTTTAAATTGTTGTGAGGGACAGGATTGGCTCTTCCAGGGGTCGGCAAACTTTTGAGATGGAATGTACCCAAAAAGTCACATGTGGCTTGCGAGCCGCAGTTTGCTGACCCCTGATCTAATGTATTCTTCATTTCTGACTGGTTCTTTATGTTTCCTACCTCTTTGTTAAAGTTTCATGAGTTTACCTATTTCTTCCCCTAAGTTCACTGAGCATCCTTATAACCAGTGTTTTGAATTCTGCATCTGGTAGATTGCTTGCCTCCTTTTTGTCTACCGTATTTGCCGGCGTATAAGACGATTTTTTGGCCCTGAAAAATATGCCTCCAAGTGGGGGGTCGTCTTATACGCCAGGTACACTTCAGATAAACTGCCCATAGTGCTTGCCCCGTGCCATAGTGGCCTCCCGATGCCCACCCACTTCATTCCACATACCGTTCAGGCATCAGCAGCGCTGCTGGGTGTATGCTCGGCTGTTATGCGATTTTGCTGTTATGCGATTTTACCACACTCGCAAAATCGCACACAGCCGACCATACACCCAGTATGATAGCGCAAAATCGCGAATCGCGATTTATGTATATGTTTGATTACATACAGCCTTGTGACAGTTTTCCTGCATGTCATAAGCATTTGAATATAAATATAAATGTTGAAATCAAATCTGATATTGTTTTACCTTTTATTTGGTGTGTGGAAGGTGTGCGGAAGAGGGGGTAGTCTTATACGGCGAGTATATAACAAACTCTGTATTTTGAGTGGAAATGTTAGGGGGTCGTCTTATACGCCCAGTCGTCTTATACGCCGGCAAATACGGTAGTTCTATTTCTGGAGTTTTGTTCTGTTCTTTCATTTGGGACATGTTTCTTTGTGTCCCTATTTTGGGTGCTTCCCTGTGATTGTTTCTGTGTATTAGGTAGGGCTGCAACGTCTCCTGGTTTTAGTAGAACTGCACTGGGCCAGTTTAGATGTTTCTTTCAAGGAGCAATTTAAGTCTGTTTAGCATGACACAGAACTGATGGTTCTTTCTCTGTACCCAAAGCAATTTACACATTACTTCTACTTAGGGTGACCACATAATTTATCATCCAACCTGGACACATTGAAAATGAAAGGGTGCACAAATAACCATTAAGCCAGGACAAGAGGTGTCCCTGACAAACCAGGAAGTATGGTCATACTACTTTGAAAGTAGTTATTTACTAAGTGTATGTCTCTTGTCATTCAACTGTAAAGGTATTTCAAGTCTGGGCCTTATTTCTCTTAGCTTCTTTTGTTACCTAGAATTGTGCCTGGCACATAGTGATGGTAGAAGAAATGTTAGTGCTGCTTCAAAAATATTCACTTAATTGCATATTATACTACTTGGTGCAGAACTCTAACCATCCCATTTGGGGCCTATTATGAGCCATTTTCTCAGTATTACAAATATAGGGCAATGAGTTTAATTATATGCTTGTGTAATGATAATAACTAGCATTTACCAGCATTTACCATGTGCCAGGCCCAGGACTAAGAACTTTGTTTGAGTTCTCTCATTGATTTCTCACAACAGTTCTTGGAGGTAATACTATTATGGTCCCATTAAATCAGAAGAAAAGACATGTTTAGAAAGATTAAGGACTTTGCTCAGGGTCACCCAGCTAATTAGAGTTTGAACTCCAGGCTCTGATTCCATACACTATCTCTCTTGTATATGAGAAATAGCTGGTATCAAAGTTTAGAAAGTAGTTTTTTTTAATAAATGTTAATAGCATACTTTTAGGAAAAAAAATCCATTTGCTTTAAAATTTTTGAAGGTAAATTTATTTAAGTAAAAGATCACAAAATCAGGCCAGTGTGGCAGCTAATGTGAGCTCATGAATAGTGATAGCAGTCTGTTAGATCAATACATTGCTTGCTTTTGTCCTTGGTGTTAATTTTTCCATTATTTGTTATGGTACAAGTATACCATGTTAGTTTTATTGAGATCATTTTATTGCTTACGGACTAGTAATTTTGCAAAACAGTTTCTCTTCTAGTATAGTAGTTGCATTTACTTTTGGCAGTATTTTCAATGCAGATTTTGTGAACAGTGTCTATTTTCAACCCTGACTTTTTGAAATAAGATTTTATTTGGTAACAATTTTAAGGACCGTGCAGACACATCAAAATATTGACTCCAAAAAATTATTATTTGGTATTATTATAATTACAAACCATATTTTGACATTGATTTAACACATTGTCAATGGTTTTTAAAATAAAAGCAGTCTATTTAATTTGTCATCCATTGTAAGGGATAATCTGTAGCCTTTGTTTTAAATCATAAAGGATAAATTAAATATAGTATTAAGAGACTATGCTCTAAATATAATACAAGCAAATAATTATACATATAGACTTTCATACAGAAGATATCCTTCCATTGAATGGGATTGTCTTCTTTTTAAATTTTTTTTAATTTTAATTAGCTGAGCCATCCTGCCACCTGTTGGCAGCTCAGCGGCTGCTCAGCTCGGGCCGGGACTCAAACCACTGTTGTTCAGAGCTCAAACTCTTGAGCGAGCTCTTAACCAACTGAGCCACTCAACCAGCCCAGGATTGTCTTCTTAATTGACTTGTTTTCTACTGATAAGGGTGTATGAATAGCAACTGAAATGAGGTATTATTGAGGTATTCAATCACATATGATGTGTTATAAACAAAATATGAAAAATCTGAAAATCAATGTTTACATAATGAATATTAACCTTTTATGAATAAATGACAGGAAATGTTAATATTTAAGGCAATCACACAAGATGACTACATTCGTAATTCAAAGGATTACAAGCTATATGTTAAGTTCAGAATTTTCTGTTTTGCCTGTCCTAGGAAATTTTTGGAATTAACATGCCTTTGAGTTTCACAGCAGAAGGTTTAGTTTATCATATTATTCCCATTCAGCGAAATAGGATACCAAGATATAATTGGTTAGAAAAATTGCATTAAATGTCAAGTTAGCACTGTACTCAGGGTAACTGGAAAATCAAAATGCTTATGTTATGGTGTAGATAAGGCTCTTAAACTGATAGAAATTGGAACCAAGAGGAAGTTTAAAATAAAAAAATTGGGAGCCAGCCAAGTGGCTCAGTTGGTTGAGAGCGAGTGCTCAAGAGTTTGAGCTCTGAGCAACAGCAGTTCAATGCCCAACCCGAGCTGAGCTACTGCTGAGCTGCCAAAAGGTGGCAGGATGGCTCAGCTAAAAATAAATAAATAAATAAATAAATTGGGCATTTTTTTGACTTTTTATTATCTCAAGGGATTTTTTTTTTAATTTAGGCGTATCAGATGAACAAAACAGACAAAAATCCCATCTTCTACTGGGGAAAACAAACACTAAAAGACAAACATACAAAATAAATTATAAAGATTATTGCAAGATTTGAAGAATCATGGGAAGAAAAGTTAAGAGTCATAGGAAGAAAAGTGAGGAAGGATTGCGAGTTTCAGGTTGGGACAGTTACAATTTTAAATAGGGTAGTCAGGCTAAGCATCATTGTTAGGTGAGATATGAGTAAAGAGTTAAAAGAGGAGAAGGTGGACCTTGGGGAATAAGGTTCTGGGCAGAGGGAATGGCAGAGGAAAACAGCTGTCTCAGTGACCCGAAATAGTAGTCTGTAGGCAATATTAAAGCAATAATGAGCGGTTGGAACTGGAGTCAGAGGTAAAGTGAAAAAGCCATAGTTTTAACAACGAATGAAATAGGAAGCCATTGGAGGATTTTGACCTGATGAGATAGCTGACTGTTCTTGTAAGAGGATATTCTCATTGTTGTTTTGACAATAGACTCAGGTAATTGTGGGCAGGGAGACGATTTGTAGGCCAGCAAATAGAAGACAGAAGTAATGCAGAAGAGAAGTGGTTTGATTCTGATTTATTTGGAAGGTACAACCAACAGGCTTGCTTGACAGATTGGGAGGTGATGAGAGAATGAGGAGGTAAGGATGACTCCAAAGAGTTTGGCCTGAGCAACTAGGACCGTGGCATGGTCTTGAGTTGCTTTTCGTGCGTGCAAGGGAGAACTATAAACTGGGGGGGGGGGGGGGGTGTAGAAAACTAATTTGCGCTAATGTAATCAATCGAGATGAGGAAGATGTACATTTCTATATTATTGTCCAAGTATTTTAGATTTGAAAACTTGAAGGCATTTTAGTGGAGTGTTGGCTACTAGATAGGGGCACTCCTCTGTGTTTCTGATTTCTGGAATATATGAAATACACAGCGAAAGGAGTCTCAGAGATCCAGTGGGCTAATTTCACACATTGCAAATGCCAGATGTTCTCGGCCGTAAGCTGATGACGGATTCATCTATTCAGATGTTTACATGGAAAAAAACAAAAACAGTGGTCCTGTGATTTCAGGGCACCTCTCTCTCAACTGCCACCAACCGAAAAACAACTAGTCCGCAGGCTCAGCACCAACCTCGCTGGTCTGGGAGCGTCCGCGGCTCCACTTGGAGCGCAGGCACCGCCCCTCCGCGCGGTCCTGGGAAGGGGCGCGAGCCGCCGCCGCCGCCTGCCCGAGGGTGGGGAGGGGCTCCCGCGCGCTCCCACCCAGCCCTGGTCGCCATCTTCCGGCGCGTTCTTTCCCGCGTGGGCTCCAACCCGGCTCTCGGCTCTCCACTAGCGTCGGAGGGGACTTCCTAGTCCGCGCAGCCCTAGGGCGCGGTGCGGCACGGGGTCCGGGGCCCGGGGCAGAGTCCAGGTCCCGCGTGGCCAGGGGGCGGGGCCAGCGCGGCGGGTGCTGCGCGGTCCCCCCCTTGGCTCTCTGAGCGAGCCCCGCCCCCCGCCCCGCCTGCGCGCGAGCCTGGGCGGGGAGGGCGGGGCCAGGAAGCGGCGAGTGCGCCGGGGAGCGCAGCTGCGGGGGTTGGGGAGGCAGGAGCCGCGGAGCCGGCGCCGAGAGCGGCTGCGGCCGGAGCGGGCGGCCGAGACAAAGGCGACGGTGAGTGCGGCGCCGGTCCCGGTCGCGCGCCGGCCCCCACTCCTAGCCGTCGTGGCCCCGTGGACTGGGGCCCGAAGCCCCGAACCCCTGGCGCCGAGGGCTCCGGGGCGAGCGCGGCCCGGCCCTGCCCGCTGCGGGCAGTGGGTTGAGCCTGCGGCTCCATTTTCAGGTCTGGGCGAGGTCCTCATGCGGACCCTGCCTTTGGTTTTCCTTCCATTCCCTCTGAGAAATGGTTACCTGCTCAGTTCAGAATTCACGGCACCTGGGCGGCTGCGGAAGCTAGCCGCTCGCCTGATGTAAAATGGAAATGAAGACCCCCTCCCCCCAACTTTGCAGGTCTGGAAGTCAGGAGGGTGGCGCAAGGGGCGGGCGGAGAGGGCCCGGGTCCTCCAGGTGAGGGCTTGAGAGGGGCGGGGACCCCCTGCTCCGTCCCCGGGACTCTCGCCTGACGTCCGGTGCGTTCCTCCCGCTGGTCTCGCCACAGCTCCTTTTGGGCCCCGGAGAGAAAGCCCCGACCACCTCCCCGGAGGAGCTGGTGCTACTCTTACAGGTTGTTTTACCCAGAGCTTGTGCTTTAGTGGTGATTTTTGGTAACGGGTGTGGTAGGTAGCGGCTCTCTGACGCCGCATTAATAGCTGAAAAGAAAGCTCCAGTGGGCTGACTGTTTATGTACATGAAACAACATTGCAATTCCTCTTTAGCTCCTATTTTAAATGACAATCTTTTGTAGGGGAATTCGGTGCTGCTCGTCAGTTTTCAAAGCTGACACGTTTTGTTAAAGGACCTGACATATAGTAGATGCTCAGGAAAATATGTAAATGAATGAATGAATCTTGAAACATACAGAGCTGATCTTACATCTAGTAAAATTTAGGCACGTACCCTCGACTCAAATTAAGGATAAAAATTGGGAAACATGTAGTTTGTTTATATGTTTGTGTGTTTTTACCCGATATATACATACTGTTGATGAATAATCAGTTATTACCAATATAGCAAACATAGAAAATGTTTGAAATGTGAAATTTTTCATCTTGAGGAAAGTTGGTAGACATTTTCTGTTTCTTAAAAATAAGCCTCATTTCTAATTTTCTTTCAGCAGAATGGAGATCAGAGGTGCTTGAATTGTATTTTGTTCTTTTGAGACCCAGCTTTCAATTACATTATGAATAAAGACGTTTATGTGCTTTTAAAGGACCGTGGCATGGTCTTGAGTTGCTCTTTGAGCAAGGGAGAACCCCAAACTTGGGGGAAAAGAGAAAACTAATGTTGCACTAATATATTGTAATTAAACCTCACCATTTACTCAACAGATACTCATTAAGCGCCTATTATGTACTGGCACCTGTGTTGCATACCGAGTTTTCAGGGGCAAACAAAACCCACTTATTCCTTTTTTAAACTTGAGTGTGAAGTTCTTTCCTCATTCTTGATGTTGCAAGTGGGGAATGTCTTACAGTTGGGAAGGATGACAGGTGAAGCTGTAGGAAGTGTAGATCCATTACAGTCTGTTTAAAGGTTAGTAGGTAACTCTAGGCTAAGATTATTGGGTTACATTTTCATATTGTCAGTTTAATAAAGTCTCTACATTTTAAAACAAAGGGTGGGAGAGTTCTAACTAGTATTTTTATTCTCACCCTCTCCCATATTAGGTGATTTTGGTACAATGTATTTATTGAGGAGTAAGGTACTTTTGGTTCTGTTTTCTGTAAATAATCTTTGCTATGGAACATTACGTATTTTTTAAAATCGCCAAGGTGAAACAGTGGATTCCTTTTGTATAAGAAATGTTTTTAAATAAAGCACCTTTTCAGAAATTTTATTTTGACCTTTTATTCACCATTTACAAGTATTGACTTGATAGTGCTGAAAAGGGAAGGACTTAGTAATAATTTGTGGTTCCATACTTGGATTTTCCCTCTAGTATTACAACTGTGATAAAACTGCTTTCTAAAAAGGATCCGATTTGTAGTATTGCATTTACTAATTTTGAACATAAGGTTGCATTGCCTATCTTTTTTACATATGATAAAGTACTTATTTAGTCATTCTTGATCGTTACAAAATAATTTAGATGAATAATTTTTTTACATATAGCTTTTGAATTTATGGTGGAGTCTTTTGACTCACCAATGTGCATAAGGCCTTACACATTGTTGATGATAATGTGTACATTTAAATAGAACTTTCAGATTTTCAGACTTATTGGCTGTTAGCTTTTTATTGTTGTTCCTAGAAATAATAAGAGAAGTAATTCCTCAAATTTTAGTGGTAGAGAGTTGTGATAGTTTTTCTTTAAATGTATATTTTTTTATAGGAAGAGTTGTTTGTTAATATAGTGTTGATACATAGTCTGGTGATGAAAAACCTAATAGAAATGATTATAATGATGAAGAACAATGTAGGCGGGGTGTGATAATGTTGAATAAAAAATGCTTGGCATATTTTATTTGGATAAGGACTTCAGCAGAGTTGTTAACAATAAACAGCATTGACACGTTAAATTAATTTTTTCCAAGAAATTAGAACCCATAAAGACTTTTTTTTTTGGTGCCTTAAAATAATACTATAAATGTTTTCAAAGTATTATTTCTACCTTGGAGTAGTTCTTAATATTCTGAGGCTAAATAAATTCCACGATCATTCTATTTTATAATTTTTGGAATATTTGAAATGTTGATCTTTTCTTCATTTGGGATGTGTGTATGTTTGGGAGTGAGGGTTAATTTTTTTTGTAAGACCCTTTACAATGATTTAGAAAGTGTTTTCAGGCGTAATTAATAAAATGATTAAGAATGATGCTGTTACAGCATATTGCAGCTGTGCCCATATTTGCTGTGTAGCTTGTGAGAGGATGAATTAGCATTTGCATAAAACATTTCCAAAGTGCTTTATAACAAAGTGCTTTATAATTTCTCATACTCATTCTCTAGGATAGGTTGCTATTATGTTTTTATGTCCTGGTTGTTATTTTTATTGTGAAAGTGTTTGGGTTTCTTATCTGTTTTAGGATGAGTCTGAGATATTGTCTTAAGACTATAAATAGACTTTTCTCACAATGGCAAATGCATATTTTGATCTATTAGTGTTCATAATCTCAGTTCTCAGGAAAGAAATATTTTAACATTTTATTGAAGGTTAAATGTTAATGTTTTAGATCTGTCTCAGAGGGAGACATTATGGGTTCCGCATGCATTCTTGAGAGGAACTGAGTGAAACGTGCTTATCCTTAATACTTACTACTGGGTTTGATTTTTTTGGTACTACTTGGAATTTAGCTTACTAATAATTAACTATGCATCCTGCTACTGTAGTTCAAAACTTAAGTATACTTGAACCTTTGTATAATATAGCAAATAATGAACAGAGCAGGATTTAGTGGAAACTCCGGTGGGGCTCCATCCAAAGGGAGTTTTTGAACTGAAAGCTAACGATTTGGTAATTAATTGTCTTTATCCTGACTTTAGTCAAAATGGATTATGGTAAAACAAATCCCTTTTTCCTAGAAAGCATTAGACAAGTCCATGTTAAATTTAGGTGTCTTTGAAACAAATGATAAACTTTTATTTCCATTTGGTAGCTTACCCACTTAGAAATTCATGCTAAGATTTCTTATTAAGTCTTTATGATTGGATTTTTTGTAAGCATCTTGTACGTAAACATAAAATCATTTTGTTTCATTTCACTTAATCTACTTTCACTTTTTGCTTATTAAAGCAAAAATGAATTTTTCGTGTATTCAGTGTTGTGTATATTTTGCACCTGATATATAGTGGGAACCCATGGATATTTGTGGAACTAGTATGTTCACTGGATGGGACTTGATAAAGTTTAAGCAGAAAATGACTTTCTCTCACTGAACCTTTGAACCGTCCCTATATGTAGATTAATCCTTTCCCTGCCTCTCCATGAGTTCTTAGGAAGATTAGATAGTTGTTTTTTTATTTTTTATTGGGGAACAGCTATGGTCATTGGTTGCACATTGCTTTCATGTTACAATGGTATAGTTGACTCTTTTAAGGAGAGTTTAGCTCACAATGGCCCATGTGTGGATCGAACTGGCCGTCTTAGTGTTATCAGTACCACACTCTAACCAACTGAGCTAACTGGTCACTCCCTAGATAGTTTTTCTAGTTACTTTTCAGGCAGTAAAAAGTCTTCTGCTTACTTGTCATTAAGTCTTATTTTAGTCATTAGAGGGTACAGTTCAGTATAATCAGTGTTCAAACTCCTACCACACATTGGAACTTTTCTTCTTAGCTCAGAACTGCTTCATACCTAGAAGCCTGCTTAGAGGAAGAATCCTAGTAGGCTTCTCTTTTTACTTTGCCAGCTCCTCTTCAGGATGCCATCCTCACGTGCCCAGGGTCCAGCTCAGTGGGGAGAGGGGGTTGGGAGAAAAGGTAGGTTTTAATGTGGCTCATGTGAATGTGACCTGGCATTGTCACCTTCCTAGTTGGCCAGGCTATTCAGAGCTGACTCTTGCTCCAGCAGTGCGGGAAATGGTTTTTTGGGGGACTCTGTCTGCGATCCTCCAGTTGCAATTCCTGTGATATTTCTTCTGCTCCAGTCTCTTAGTCTTCTAGTTTCTCTCATTTGCAGGCTCCTTTTGCTTTAGCCTTTAAGGTAGTTCTGTAACATTTTAACCAGACCCTCCCGTACTTTATTAAGGTTATTTCATATGACACAGTTTCAAGCATTCCACCAGGGCCTCATCATCCATTTTTCCAGCTCCTTCTATCAGGTACCCCCGCTTGTACTTGACAGTACTTCCGTGTCTGGGACCTACAATCCGTTGCCACCACATTTTTACTGTCCCAGGCCCTCCTTCCCCCATATTCCCATTTGAAAATTGACTCTGCTTTGAATCCATGGTCCACTATTACAATTTCTTCCACTTATATCCCCTCAGTTCCCTTGTAGCACTTCTCCTTTCATTGTACTCACCTGGCATGCCCCCCCCCACCTCCATCTAGTCTAGCCTGTACCTGCCAGTTGAA